TCCATCAGCTCCAAACAGGCAGCCAGTGTCTAGAGACCAGGACTTATCCCTGCTCTATCCTCCGGGGAAAACTCTTTGTGAACGGCAATATTTCAGCGTAAAGCAGTTGTAACTTGTCACGGGGGAGGCCAAGGGGGGAGGACAGGAGTTAAATAGCTTTGTACAATCCTCTTGATAATGCGTTTTGATGTAACAGGCACTTGAATGAAGAGATCTCAACTGCTTTGTAACATCTTTGTAAATCCATTGGCAATTGACCGTGTTGCTGTTTATTCAGTGATTACTGTTTCAATTATGGGGTTGTTTTTGTTTAAAAATCCCATATTACACTATTTTCTGATCTGTTATAATGTTGTTTCCTCATCAAAAACAGATTTGGAGTTGTGTTTTCTTTCATTCACACGTTTAACACACAAACCCTGCAAATTCAGGCTGAGATCTTCTCTTAAACGGAAAACACTCTCTTCCCCCTTGTGATGTCATGTGGTAATACAGGAAGTGCTCCACTGTGTTTTTAAACTCCATACACCTTCACTAGAATCATCTGGATGAGTTCAGCCCTGGATTTGTCGATCTATACTGAATAAAAGGTAGAAGTTAACTTGAATACTACCACTACATGACATCACAAGATAGAACGGAGCATTTTGAGCTTTGGAAATGTAGACAGACTAATAATAAAGAGTTACTCAAACATGTGTGAATGAAACAAAACACAACTCTGGGTATTTTTGTGATGAGGTAACAACATTCTAACATGGTGTAAAGCTCACAAGAGTCAATTACGTGTAATATAGGACCTTTAAAACATCCATCCATCCATTTTCTTCCGCTTATCCGGGGCCGGGTCACGGGGGCAACAGTCTGAGGAGGGCCTCCCAGACTTCCCTCTCCACACACACTTCCTCCAGCTCTTCCAGGGGGATCCTGAGACGTTCCCAGGCCAGCTGAGAGACATAGTCCCTCCAGCGTGTCCTGGGTCTTTTCCCGGGGTCTCCTCCCGGTGGGACATGGCCGGAACACCTCCCGAGGGAGACGCCCAGGAGGCATCCGGAACAGATGCCCGAGCCACCTCAGCTGGCTCCTCTCGACGTGGAGGAGCAGCGGCTCTACTCCAAGCTCCTCCCGTGTGACTGAGCTCCTCACCCTATCTCTAAGGGAGCGCCCAGCCGCCCTGCAGAGGAAACTCATTTTGATGAGTATCCGCAATCTTGTCCTTTCGGTCATTACCCGAAGCTCATGACCATAGGTGAGAGTAGGAACGTAGATTGACCGGTAAATTGAGAGCTTCGCCTTTCGACTCAGCTCCCTCTTCACCACAATGGTCCGATACAGCGACCGCATCACTGCTGAAGCTGCACCGATCTGCCTGTCAATCTCACGCTCCATCCTCCCCTCACTCGTGAACAAGACCCCGAGATACTTGAACTCCTCCACTTGAGGCAGGGACTCTCCACCCACCTTTAAAACAATGATCACAATATTGATGATGTGATCTTGCATAGGCTATTGCTTGGAATTGTGAGATCCCCTAACTGTCTACTATCTATCCCATTGTTTCGCAAAGATTTTTTTTGCCTTGTCACAGTCTGCAAGGAGGAGGTCTGCAATACACATATACATACATCCCTACTCCTCACTTCTTCTCTGTGCACGGAATACTTCCCGCTCCTCACTTTTTCAGCAGCACCATGCCTTGCCTAACCAGTTTTTCTGTGGGAAACACTGATTATTGTTTTTCCTTGTTTAAAACTTGACGACCGTATTTTTCAGACTAAGGCGCACTTAAAATACCTTAATTTTCTGAAAAATCGAGCACCTTCTAATCCGGTGCGATTTATGTTTTAATTCTGGTTGTACTTACTGACCTCAAACCGATTTTCACATACTGGTACATTCCACTCAGTCCTGTTCTTTAGTCTGACAGAAGCTGAAGCTGTTTTTAAAAAAAAAAAAAAATTATCGCTTATAGTTTATGCGAATGAGCCGTGTGGTTTTAAGTTTTGTTTCTGTTAAACGTAAACAAATGTGGCAAAGTTGCATTTAAAAACATTATTACTCAATGTCTATTTGAGTCCTCCTTGTAAGAAATAAAATCTCAAGTGTCGTCCGTTTGTTTCACTTAATGCGTCTTATGATCTGGTGCGGCTTATGTATGAAAATAGACGAGAGAATTCAACATTACTGGTACTGCGCCTTATAGTCTGAAAAATACGGTAATAATACGAACTGTTCAGGGAGACGCAATCACTCAGTCAACAATAAAATATCATCATTAATGTAATCCATTTATGAGTCGTGAAGATTTGTGACTTTTAAAATATGGGTCCCCAGAAAAAAAAAAGTTTGGGAAACACTGATCTAGCCCTTATTTTCAGCCTTACGTGTTAGAATTACCTAGTGTGTATTGAATGACCTGCTCACTGTACACTGTGTACCCGCCTAAGGCAAAAAGTTACTTGGACGATCAAGCTGACTCCCGATCTGTGTTTCGTGTAATGCTTGTCTAGTTCTGATGTTCCTTGTTTAGCCCTAAAACCGTTTAGTCTCTATTTTTGACTGAAATCCCAATTATTTGTAGCCATGCTGCCTTTTCATTGCCAGATATGGTCTGATTTTGGAAGCTACGTAAGACTGGGCCTGATTAGTACTTGGATGGGAGACTGCTCTGAATACCATAGTCCACAGTGCGGCAGTAGTAACTCTAGCGCAAGCTGTCTTTGTGTCCTTAGGCAACGCACTTCACCCAAATGCCCATGTATGAATGTGGTGAGGGGAGTGGTCGAAGGGACTGATGGTGCACATTGGCAGCCTCTCTAGCATCAATCTGTCCCTGCTGCGGCTGTAGTTGTATCTTACCCCCAAGTATGGAATGAGTAATGTATGAAATTGTAAAGCAACTTAGAAGACTTATGCATTATTATTATTTTAGTATTTGCAGGTTATATAAAGATGTTTATAAAAAAAAATCTGTAGGCATTAGACACCCACAGGCCCTAACGGGAAAAGCATCACAAGATTAACACAGCGAAGGACACAACGTTAAATAGCTTTGATTATGGAGGTGTCAGAGTGATCTATTTTGCTTCAGCGCAGTACAAAGGCGGGCTGTTTTAAGTCTAACTAAGGCATAAATCTGAGTTTATATTTAACATACTGTTCTTTGTGGTATGTATTATTCAACAGGGCCATTTTCCAGGTCTTAAATCAGGTCATGTGGATCCAGGGTATCCTCGTCCCTTTTGTTCAAGTGGGACACAGCGGCGCCTGCTCACCGCTGACGACACACACAGAAATCTCAGCTCCAAAAGTTCATTACAGCAGGTGTTTTTTTGTGTGTTTTTTTTTAAGAGCTGCTCCAACGCTTTATTTGAGCCTTTTGCCGTCTCTGGAGATGTGCAAGCAATGAAATAACATGGTCATTTTCTGGCACCCAAAAATATAAAAATAGTTGTTCAAGTTGTGATGCTACTTTCAATGAAGGTGAATCAATAAAATGGAGCAGAGTGAGAGAAAATGGTTCTGATGCCAGTGCAAAGAGAGCAGTTGATGAGTTTTAGATGATCAGTTAGTATCTGTGAGTATTTAGGTCACAATTATTGTAGGAATTCAAACAAAATAATACTTTTCATAATTTTAGATGGATGATTTCATGTAACTGGTGATCTGGTGATGGAGAGTGGTGACATATGTGTAAATTAATTAAAGGACCCATAATACACTATTTTTTTTGTCTGTTGTAATGTTTCGTCATCACAAATATACCCGGAGTTGTGTTTTTTTTTCTTCATTCACACATGTTTAACACACAAACCCTGTATATTTAGGCTGAGTTCTTCTGTCAAACAGAAAACACTCTGTTCCAACTTGTGATGTCATGTGCTAAGACAGAAGGAAGTGCTCCATCCATTCCGATCTGAAATAAAGGTAAAAGGTGTCTATTCACTGAAACTACCACGATATGACATCCCAGGGTGGAACAGATCATTTTGAGGTACTAGCTACTTCAGTGACTAAAAATAAAGGATTACGCAAACGTGCGTGAATGAAACAAAACACAAGTCTAGATATGTTTTTGAGGAAGTAACAAAAAAGTAACATGGATAAAAGCTCACACGAGTTACTTTTGTGTGGTATAGGACCCATAGCAAAGGAGAATTTCAAATGGACAAATGTTTATTTAGGTCAAAAACGTTTCGCAGCTCATCCAAGCTGCTTCTTCAGTTCTGGTCAGACGCTGGTGGACACTTCCTTATCTGCCTGCAGGAGCTAATACACTGAAACTACACTGAAACTAACACACCTACTTGTTTACAGTTTCTGTTTTTCAGCTAGACCTATCTGTACTGAGTGAGAGGACATATTAACATAATCATTCAGGCCCATAATGAGTGCATTCACACCTCTGGCCCAGACCTGGCTACCCCTATTGTTTTCTTTGTTTTAGGTCTGAGGATGGAGTTGTAAATGGGAGACAGATCATGTATGAGGCCTCCATTTCTGTTCATGGAAGGATTGTCTTTCCTAACAAAAATAGCCTCTGTAACTCCCCTGTCAAACCAATTCTTTTCTTTGGCTAAGATCCGTACCTCACTACTCTCAAAGGAGTGACTCGAGGATTTAAGGTGGAGATGTATAGCAGACTGAGGTCCACTATTTCTGTCTCGTCTGTGTTAGTTCATCCTCTTGTGACGTGGCTGTTTTGTTTCTCTAATGTAGCGCTCACTGCAGTCTAAACTACACTGAATGGAGTAAACCAAATTGGCTTGTCTTGTGGCTCGGTGTTTTGTCCTTTGGGTGGACCAGTTTCTGTCTTAGAGTCTTAAAGTGGATCTTTAAGTGTATAGGACCCTTATGGATTTTGTTGTTGTTGGGTCATGGTTATTTCTCACAGCAATCACAAAAAAAGCACTATAGGTTTTGTGGAATTATGTACTGTTCCGTATTTGAACTCGGCAAACTTAATCTAAACATTTCTTTCTCTTTTTTTTTTGTTTCAGGATGGCTCCAAAAGGAAAGAGGTGCGAAAAAAGACAGTCTCCTTCAGCTCGATGCCTAGCGATCGCAAAATCAACAGTACGGCGGCGTGTATGGCCTTCATGATGGAGGGATGCGAAATGAAAAAAGTCCGATCCAACTCCCGCATGTACAACCGCTACTTCCTCCTCGACCCTGACATGCGCTGGTTACGGTGGGAACCCTCTAAAAAAGACTCGGAAAAAGCCAAACTGGAAATCAAAAGCATTAAGGAAGTTCGATTGGGGAAGAAAACGCCAGTCCTTCGTAGCAATGGACTCTCTGACCAGTTTCCAGATGAATGCGCGTTCTCGATTATCTACGGCGACAATTACGAGTCTTTAGATTTGGTTGCAAGCACCGCAGATGTGGTTAGCACTTGGGTAATGGGGTTGAGGTATCTAGTATCTTACGGTAGGCATACTGTTAACATGGTTGAACCTAACCAACCAAGTTTGCGTACATCTTGGATCGGGTCTGTTTTCGAACTAGCTGATACCGACAAAGAAGGACACATAGACTTGTTCAGGGCGACGCAGATCATAAAGGGACTAAACCCGGGCATGAAAGAAGCGCTAATCGAGCTAAAATTCAAGGAGCTACAAAAAGCAAAAGACCAGTACGGCGAAGCTATCAACATGGATACATTCGTTGAGGCATACTGCGAGTTGTGTACGAGACCGGAGATATTCTTTTTGATGGTGCAGTTCTCAAGCAACAAGGAATACCTGGATAGCAAAGACCTGATGCTTTTTGTCGAGGTTGAGCAAGGAGTGGAAGGCGTGAATGAAGAACTGTGTAGAGAAATCGTACAAAAGTTTGAACCATCATCGGAAGGAAGAGAGCGCGGATATCTCTCCATTGACGGTTTCACGCACTACCTCTTATCGTCCGAATGCCACATTTTTGACCCCCAACACAAGCGGGTATGCCAGGATATGACTCAACCGCTGTCGCACTACTATATCAACTCCTCCCACAACGCATCGCTTCTCGAAGACCATTTTTGGGGGTCTTCGGATATTAGCAGCTATATCCGAGCTTTGCGAATGGGTTGTAGGAGCATTGAGGTGATCGTGTGGAACGGCCCCGACAACGAACCCGTGGTCTACGTAGGAAGTTCCGTTGCTTCTCAGCTGGCGTTCTCAAAAATCCTAGATATTATAAACCAATATGCATTTGAAAGCTCAGAATATCCGCTAATTCTCTGCTTGGTGACACATTGCTCTATTCCTCAACAAAGAGTCATGGCGCAACACATAAAAAAGATACTTGGGGATAAACTATACCTCCAAATGCCAAGCAAAGACGAGAATTACCTACCATCGCCTGAAAAACTGAAAGGCAAAATTCTTATTAAGGGTAAAAAGCTGCCCCCTAGCTGCCCGGATAGCGAAGGAGATGTTACAGATGAGGAAGAAGGGCTAGAAATGTCCAGAAGAGTCGGCGTAGACGACAAAGATCAGCTTAACGGGTTGGGATTCAAAAGACTTAGACTTTGCCGGGAGCTTTCCGATCTTGTAACTCTTTGCAAGTCCATTCAGTTCAGGGATTTTGACATTTCCAAACGGGAGCAAAAATACTGGGAAATCTGCTCCTTCAACGAGGTGGATGCTAACCGTTTTGCGAATGAATTCCCAGAGGAGTTTGTGTGTTACAATAAGCGTTTTCTGTCCCGTGTTTATCCCACTCCAATGCGAATCGACGCCAGTAATATGAACCCTCAGGATTTTTGGAAATGCGGTTGCCAGATAGTCGCGATGAACTATCAAACTCCAGGACTGATGATGGATCTGAACTTGGGCTGGTTCAGGCAAAACGGGAACTGCGGGTATGTTTTGAGACCAGCTATCATGAGAGAGGAGGTGTCTTACTTCAGTGCCAATGCAAGGGACTCGCTTCCAGGAGTTTCTGCACAACTTCTTCATATAAAAGTCATCAGCGGACAAAACTTACCCAAACCACGTGGATCTGCTGCGAAAGGAGATGTGGTAGAGCCATACATATATGTCGAAATACACGGCATCCCGGCTGATTGCGCTGAACAAAGAACCAAAACAGTTTCGCAAAATGGCGACAATCCAATTTTCGACGAAAGTTTTGAGTTTCAGATCAACTTACCCGAACTGGCCGTGCTGAGATTTGTAGTTCTTGACGATGACTACATTGGAGATGAGTTCATTGGGCAATACACTATCCCATTCGAATGCCTGCAACCTGGATATAGGCACGTCCCACTCCAGTCGCTGACGGGGGAGTTTCTGGCCAATACGACTCTGTTTGTCCACGTCGCCATCACGAATAGAAGAGGAGGTGGAAAGGCGCATAAGAGGGGGATCTCGGTGAGGAAAGGGAGGAAAGCAAGAGAGTACACCACCACCAAAACTACAGGGATCAAAGTCGTGGATGAGCTGTTCAGAGCATCGACGCAGCCCCTGAGAGAAGCCACGGACCTCAGAGAAAATGTACAGGTAAGACCATTTTAAACATACCACTATAACAATTATTCTGACGAAGACTTGAGATTTTAAAAGAAAAAGATGTGCTACCCAAAAAATTATGTATTGTAGGACTGGGTGATATGCATAGACAAACCCGCTAGACACCAAACTCCAAATAGGAAGTAAACATGGGTGCACTTCCGGCTTGATCGACTCAAATTCACTTTCTATTCAAAATCAGTCACCCTTCTCTCTGTAACTGCTGCTGTCAGGTTTCTCATTTTGTCATGTCATGATCCTGGTATTTTTATTTAGCTATATTGTTCGTAAATTAAGATATGAACATATTAACAGTCAAATCAGGTGCCTCCCGCTCCTTGTAACGTTAGGAAGAGGTTTGATTGACAGAGTTGCTAAGCGCCTGCCCCCTGCTAAACCAGCAGTGTGGGCAGGAAGGAGCCTCAGCAGCCTCGCTTTAGATTGGATTTTTGGTTGCTATGATACTTGCGTCACAATTCCAAATATGAAATGGAAATGCAAATTCGACCCTATAACTTCCAGCCTCAGTGAGCTTCATTTGACTGGAACCGAGTCTACTTTTTTATTCAGTCTATGGTGATATTTCAAAAAAAAAAAAAAGAAAAAATCATTGACCAGTTGAAATGATGATGACGATGATGCATCAGTTTTATATGGCGCTTTTTTAGACACTCAGACGCTTTACAGAGCATTATTCATTCACTCCATACCCAGTGGTGTTAAGCTACTACTGTAGCCACAGCTGCCCTGAGGCAGACTGACGAAAGCGAGGCTGCCAATCTACCCCATTGGCCCATCCTACCACCACCATCACTCACACACACTCCACTTTCATACTGGGCAATGTGGGTGAAGTGCCTTGCCTAAGGACACAACAACAGTTTTTACTACTGGCGCCCCACTGTGACACCTGATTTTTCCCAGTGGTCTCCGATGATAAAAAAAAAAGTAATCATTGAAAAAAAACAAAAAAAAAACAGTACTGGCTTTCCGTAATCTTTTCATGTTCTTAAACTTTTAGTTAATTTATTCGGTTCACAATTCACTAAAATAGTGATTCCTATTTTTCCTGTACTCAAAACTATACCAGAGGATTGGCTGTAGACGTCTCCAGTGAAAAGCCCTGAGCTGATCATTGACAATTTAAAATGATTACACCATGATTTGATTCAAATTATATTCATTGCACAGTGTTACCTTTTAGTTTACATAACTGTTATATATAAGTTTGTTTGCCCAATTATTTTTCAATAAGCTCTAAAAACAATTCATTCTGACCTTTATTTTTGGATTTTTATGTTTGGAGTTTTGCAGTCCAACTTTTAATTTGGTTTGATTAGGTGTCAACTCAAAGTGACAAATTTTGTGTTAACTTGTAAGTGAGATGCCTGGACCACTGCTAAGTCCCACTTCTAACAGTTTTGATTCGTTTGTGATTTAGTCACCATCTTGGTTTTAACTGGGTTCATTTCTTGATAAATTCGTGTTATTCCCAGTTTGGTCCTGATTCAGCTCATTTGGCTCCTTTTTATTTGAGCATTAAGAAATCTCATGTCTCATCTTCTTCTGAATTAGCTCAAGGACAAGTTAAATATTCTGGGGAAGTGTCTCGGAAATAGTGCTGTCACGATACTAAAATTTCAAACTCCCTTCAAGGTTGGACTTTATACTAGATATGGATTCTGATACCGCAATGATAATAATAATAATAATAAATAATCTCTTTCTTTAGACAATACAATGTAATTTTCAGCATTAAAGGTGCACTATCTAACTTTTTCACCTACTTGTTTTTATGGATATGTCATTAAACAGCTCTACCTTACATTTATTAAATTACAAGTGGGTTTATAGCTCAAAAATACCAAGAAAAACAAACATTCTGACTGTGAGTGGGATTGCCTCTCCACGAAGATAGAAAGGTTTAATTCCAGACAAAAGTGCACAACATAAACATCCAATTAAAATAACTTACTTTTACTTAACTATATTTATGAAAAAACTAAGTAAGCCGTGACTCAAATGCATCACTAAAGTAGTTTCTTGCCTTATTCTCTGGATTTTCTTCAAACAATACAACTTGACATTTGCACAACTTAACTTCTCAAAGCACAATAGGAGCGATCTCTATTATGCTTCAGTTACAATTAGTCTGAGAAAAGAGTAGTGGCTTGTTGTGATGGCGTTTCTGCATTAGTCATTTGACACTTTTGTCTGGAACAGTCTTTGAAACGCAGACAGCTTGACAATAAAACCAGTCTCAATGGAAGTTATTGAGGTTTTTATGTTTTATTTATTTTTTTAATGCCTTGCTTATAATTAACAAGTCAAACTAAGTGCAGTATAGGTTGCTTTAAAGGTCCTGTACCCAATTTTTCTTCCTATGTATTTGAGCAAAATCAGTTCTCCCCTAGTGCAGATATATAGGGATGTAACAATAACCCAAATATCTTGATATCGTATCGTCAAAATTCTCAAAATAATACCGTGGGCCATTACAATATATCGAATTACAAGTCCCTTTGCGTAAATGAATAGTTATGGTGATTCTAATGACTTTCTTTGTGATTTTAACTAGGGATGGGCATGATTAGTCGATTAATCGATAATTGATCATTAAGAATTCCATCGATTACGTTGTTTCATCGACAAACCAATTGTAAGTTGTTGTGCGTAGCGTGACCAAAAGGGGGTCCGTACATGTGTCTCTCTGCACTCAGAAGGAGTGAGACACAAACAGTCGGTCAGTCTGCAACGTGCTGAAGCACAAATGTGTATTTAACGATGATTTGTACAAGAAATTCCATGCTTTTCGTTGCGTTCGGGACAAGTGTGAGGCCATGTGCACAGTGTACAAAGCAGCACATATGTGTCGGTGTCCAGTGGGAAAAAGTTTTGCCAGGTGAGAGTAGCGCAATGTCGATGATGAGTCCCCACCTCCCTCCCCCCGTACAGTGTCCTGGTTTTGACAAACGCAAATATGGTCACACTAACCTGTATTCCACTGAGTTGAGTTGCATCAGCGCACAAGAACTGTTTTTGTTTTCTTCTCTTAATTTATGCAAATTAGCCATGCAGTTTTAAGTTTTGTTTCTGTGAGAGTTGCACAAAGCTGCATTAAACACATTATAATGTCAAACGGGCTGATGTGGCTCTAGAGTGGTTAAGGTTTATATGTTGTAAATTAGAATTTATTTATGCAGATTAGTAGTGCAGATAGTAATAATAATGATAATGCATTTTAATATAAAAAATGTTAATGATTCATCGCTAATTGATTGTTAATTCTCCCGACGATTAAGATTAAGAAAATTTAATCGAATCCCCATCCCTAATTTTAACGTCTTTCTTATTCTGTAAAGCACTTTGAATGACTTTGTCTTGCCTTGCCATGGTGCAGCAGTAGCTAAAAACAGAGGGAACTACATAGACCATGATCCTTTGCTGTTGTCAGTGCAGAATACATGAAGAAATAACTGTTATTATGCACTTTTAAATCGTAATTCTTTATATTATAACAGGAGCTTTTCAAGACTTTCCCAAGGCTTTTAAATGGAAAAAGTTGCTTACTCACAATTTTGTAAACCTCTACAAAATATCGCAATACATATCAAACCGTGAGATACATATCGTGAAAATATCATATCGAGGGATTTTGATATTGTTACATCCCTACAGATATATTATATAAGCAGCTCTTGAGGTCAAAATGAGTCCATGTACTGTCTATACTTAATTAGAAAGCATTTTATTGCCCGATAATCATGAAATGCCTGTTAGAATGCTATTTGTTGTTGTTAGCTTTACCATCATGCTCTGTTCTCTGAGAGCTGTGAAAAGCCCTTAGAAACTCATGACTTTGTATAATTAGATGCATTCATGGAAACAAACAGGAGACGAGCTCAAGCGCAGTTTCAGGTCAGGTCTGCGGAGAGGTGATTATAGTGCGCCTGTATGTTCTTAGTGGTATTTTTGAGCAACTTAAACACCTATAGTTTAATACATGCATGTTAGATCAGTTTAATACTATACTGTGGAAAATTCCAGTCAAAAACACAAACATCTCCATGGTGACGCAACCCATACTGGAAAAGTTACATAGTGCACCGTATTATCCAAGCACACACATGTGATTTTTGTGTTTTAAGGATTTTAAATGACAAGATTATATGGAAATTATGTGGATGCAATTGACAAAAAGTAATAAGGTTCAACATATGGATAATGGTTTTGGTTATTTCTTTCAAAAATTGCCAATATTGTTATACAGGTTCCTCCCCCACCTGGAATTACGGTACAAAAAGTGTAAATAAATTAAAATAAAGAAGATGTAACTTGATTTAAGTAGATTTGACTTGTATTTTTTCATAATTCAAAAATATAATGTCTAATTTTAAGTGCAAAGAGTTGTTGTTTGTATTATCTCACATGTAACGAGCTGTATTTTCCTATTTTCAACTGTAAATTTGACTTGCGAAATTTACTCAAATCGATGTAACGCGTTCTTAATTCAAGTCATTTTAAAGGCGCATTGTGTAACTTTTCCAGCACTTGTCTCCATGTATGTGTTATTCCTTTGCCTGGAATGTTTCACAGTATGGCGTTAATCCTTTCTAAATTCATTGGAGACCAAACCAGACCAAGTTACATGTCAGATCTGTGGAGAGGCGACCGCATTCAATCAGAATCCTTGTTTTTCTAGGTGTTTTTGAGCTATAAAACCACCTGTAATTGAATAAATGTAAGTTTGAGCTGTTTAATGTCATACTGTGGAACATTCCAGACAAAGCAATGACACATCCATAGAAACCCCAACCAAAAAGTTACACAATGCACCTTTAACTTGACAGTATTTTCGTTTTAGTAGTGCACGCTTGCTGAACGTCGTGAACACAGCCTGTTGTAATGTTTAGGCCACTCCCACTGATGCTGAGCTGTAGTTTCCCATTTAGATAAACAAACTGAATTTATGTAACAAGCTCTGCCATAGA